GAGTACTCCACCGAGTACAAGCGGGTGATTATGTATGTTCACTAAGTAAATATTATGTAAATAAACCCTACACTTCTCGCTATAAATGTAATCAAAACCCATTTAAATGCAGAAACTGATTGAAATTATTGATTTTCCCACTAAAAGTTAGAGAAATCTCAGCCATGTTTATACCAAAACGTTACAGTTTCACATTATCTTCAAAAATCTTTGCAAGAAACAAACAAACATATTCTATTTCTTATTCAGATTGAGAGGCTGCAGTTTGTCAGAGACCAGCTGTGCTTCTCTGGGCTCAGCTCTGAAGTCTAATCCATCCCATCTGACAGAACTGGACCTGAGCTACAACAACCTGGACCCTGGAATGAAGGATCTCAGTGGGTTTCTTCAGTCTCCCCTCTGCAAACTACAGACACTAAGGTCAGATATAGTTTATTTGTTGATTCTAATGACATTACAATGCAAATCTAAGTGTGAGGTTAAATCAATGATCTAGTAAAGGATCAATAGACTGCTTGGTTAGAGCAGTGTGATTGTTCTCTGAAAAGGTTGCAAGTACCGAGTTCGATTCCTGAGCAAGACTCTTGACCCCACACTGCTCCTTGGGCACCGCACAATGGCTGCCCACTCCTTCACAAGGGGATAGGTTGAATGCAGAGTGAATTTCCCCTTTGAGGGACAATAAAGGGATTTACATTTACATTTGATCAGAAGATACTGCATGAACATAGGTCCAATAACTAGGAGAAAAGTAAAAAAGGGAGAATTAACTGTTAATCCCTTGAAAAAGCCTTAAGTTGGGGTAATAACTCAGAATACATAAAATCCCACCGGTAATATTTTTTACCAGGAGGTGGAGCCATTGCACGCAGCTCCAAGCTGACACCAAAATTTCAAAGCCCCACAGCTCTTGAACTGTTATAGCTAGCAGTCTGAAATTTTCTGCATTTGTGGTTGACATGATGTAGAACACATATAGTACATATAATACTGCTTTTTCTCAAGAATGTCTTTATTACTGCTGTTCAAAAAAGCTATCAATTCTGAGAATAAAAAAACAACTTTGAATCATGTTTAAACTGATGCAAGTTGGTATGTGTTCTACACACCAATTTTTTAATTTTTAATTTATATATTCAGAAACTGGAGGTTAGCTTTCAAATAATGTATTGCTCATGTAATTTGGGCTTACACTACCTAAGATATTTGCTTTTAATTTGGGCATGAAAAATAAGGAGGATTACCCAAAATTAGGTGGATTAGGTGGATTTTAAGGGGTTTAAGGTTTTTTTTTTGTGGTTTTTATGTTGTTGTTTTTTTTACAGATGAATCAATAAATGCAGACAGATTTATTAGGTCGTTGCTGTGATAGTGTGATGATAATCTGGGTAAAGTGCTGACTCAGCATCCGGCCTTCAGAAAGGTCAATATTTCAGATGCAGTACCTTTCAACAAAATGGCTATAAACCCGCACAGAAAAAGAATGATGGGCTTTCATTTGGATGATAAATTTCTAAAGTATCGTAATAACTGGAAAAGTTTAGTTTGAACATGTTAAAGGAAAAATGCATTTTTAATCACTTCCTTGTTTTTTTCAGTATCTCAGTAGTGCAGTTTACCAGTGTTTCCCCTTTTATTGATTATAACATTTTATTCATAAGAACCTTCAGATAAACATGGTACTGAATTAAACAGTAAAAAGATCAATGACAGCAAATCATTAGAACATGCATTGACTTGGATAGACATAAAAGTCAGAAACTGAATGAAAGGACGAGGTTTTGTTTGCTGTCGTATGTTCATAGAATTGATTTCTATTGAATTACACAGGGAGCCAGTGGAGCAAATGAACAGCTGGGAAGAAGATGATGAAATGATTCGGTCATTTTGGGCCCGCAGTGAACTTTAATCAGGGGCCTTATTCTAAGTCAGTGATTCTCAACCGTTTTAAGCCACGAACCCCAGTTTAACATTAACTGCTCTCCAGCTCCATACCCCCCTTTAACAAAACACACTAGAAAACACCAAATGGTTCATTTTAAAAATCTTTGTTTCTGGGAGCTTAAACCTGAAAAATAACTTTTTGATTAGAAGCAGAGATGTATTTCTATAACTATATAAAATAACAGCTGGCCCTGCTTGTTTAAACAGAGCAGCTGCATTTTTGGCATCATGTTAGAAACAGCCACATGGATATCACTCTCAGCTCTTAGGAGTCATAAGCTGGACGTACACTGCGATTTTTGGGCCGATTTTCCAGTCGTGCGACAATCTTTCGATCTGGCCGACTTTCAGCCTGATTGTGTGTCGTGAGTCATGTAGTGTACAGGGGGTTATGAGCAGTGATCATCCTCTCACGACCACCTCCTGATCAAAAATCATGAGGTCGGGAGAAAATCACACGCTTCATTTTCTCCTGACCCGAACGTAGTGGGCAATTCGCTCAGGGCACATGTGCAAAGAAGCATTCTTCTTTTTATTCTTCCTCTCAGATGTAAACACAGCAGCATGGCAGCGATTCAATGAGGGAAATGCAGTTCTGTCTGTAAAATTGACAGACCATAGTAGCCACGTTTGCTCAGCCATGACTTTTTTTTCCAAATACGTCATCGCCTTTTCTTTTTAAGGCTTTCAGCACATTGCACAAATTACGAAGGCAGCGTATTTCAATACAGTGAACATCATTTTTCCCTTCTACTTGATTGGCTTCCAGGTAGTTGAGTCAGAGCAGCTCCACCTCACTGCGGAGCTGAGTCCGATTTGGTTTTTAGTCGTAGAGTGTGAGCAGGTAGATCGCAACAGAGCATCGAGCCAAACATAAATCATGAGCTTAAAAGTCACACTGTACGATTAAACCCTGCAATTGGTCGTACAGTATGAGCAGCAGCTGTGAGCAACGACTGTACCCCCGGCTTTATTCTGTATGTTTTATGTATTTCAGCACAAAGTCTTCTTGAAACTGTCAAAAAGGCTCCTTAGGTGAGAGGCAATAACTAGTTTTCCTATTTGAATGGTTCGGTCGTTACTCTCCATAAAGTCCTGAAGCTCCGGGATCATTTCAACATTTCCCCATCCTTCCTATTGCTCACTGCTCCCGCTTTCTCTGAAATACTATGACCTTAGCGGACAGGTTGGTTGCTGTCTTTTTCATGAAGACTAAGGTTATGGCTTACAGTAACTGGTTTAGAGTAATGAAAGGCCTGTGACACCAACAACTCGCCATCTTTCTGATGTCTTGTCGGAAGCTACATTCATTTTGCTCATTATATTTTTCAAAACTGATGTGGTGACCTCCAGAAATCTTCAGGCGACCCCAGTTGTAGTCTGGAGTCCTAGATTGAGAAGGGTAGTCGGCCCTGCCAGTTTTCATCCTGCAACACTAAGAACCAGAGAGCAGCTTGTTAAAGTGAGGAGGATTTGTCCCCTTGGAAGTAAAGGCTGTAGC